GAGTGAGAGGTTCCGGGAGGGGGGAGGGGATGACCTGGGCAAAGGGAGATCTCCAACATACCGCTACGTGGCCCTTTAACTCAGGCTTGGGGAAGGGGTGTTCTTTTAGCATGGCATAAAGAGCTTATATACTATCTCGACGTCTCACTGAGGCTAATTCCTAATGTAAAAAATATCAGAGAGTGAACTTTGTCTCTCTTCACTCTGATAAGCCAAAAGCTGGCCATAGAAAAAAATTCATGTATCACATGAACATTGTGATAGCTACAATAAATAATTCCACATCCTTCCGCATCTTTAAAATTGTTAAATGTGTTTTATCGTGTTTTTTTAGTCTAAACATTGGTTAAATGAAAACATTTTTTTGGAAAGTGAAGTTTTACTTTGAAAGTGTTAAAATTTGTAATGATTAATTTTCAAATGCGTTAATGTACCGTTAAAAATTAACAATAATGACTGTACATCTGTGCTTCCACAAAAATTTAAAAAAAAAACAACTAATATTTATTTTTTAAACTGAAAATAATTTAAATCAAAAAGGTATTGATCATATTGAAAAAAAAGAAGTTTTTAAATTTAAATCAAAAAGTCATTTCATCTGTGTACAGATTTTGTATAATACATTTGTTCCTTTCTATGTCTTTAAGAAATATAGTTTTATAGGTAACAAAATTAAATTTCTACATAATAAAACAGTATAATTATACAACAATTAATGTTTTACTATACAATGTGTTGTACGTTTGTCGCTTTCTATAACATATGTGGTTGTTGTAAGAAAATGATGAACATTAGGAAATGTATGTTTCATATTTGTTTGCACAGATGATGATGCTCTTTTTGGATAAACATCTGTATTGCTTTGTGAATACGGCTTATTAAAATAATAGTGTAATTCATGTACTTCAGATTTATGTTAATAAATTTAAAAATTTAAAAACAAGTTAAAGTAAGATGACGTTTGATATACTATATATAAAAGTGCACAAATTTTTGGTGAATCTATGAAATTAATTTTATAAATCAGCATATGTATATTTATAAATTATGGATTGCCACAAGTTGCTGTTGAAAACTAATAAAGTTTCCTAAAGTATGTCCATTCGTGAGGTTTGAGTTTTCAACTATTCCTATGTCTTTCAAAGTAATGTAAATTAATAATATGTCTTCTGTATCTAGTTGTGAAAAAAAAAGTTTGAACTGAATTAAACGCCTTTCATTAACTATTGAACTTGCATGTTATTCTTTCTTTAAGATTTCGTTTTTAAACTGTCCTTTTTATTATTAATATATTGTCCTTTGCAGAGTTTTTGACGTCAGATTGTCATGCGATGTAGCTATGTTGTACTAAAAAAAAAAGACTATGACATATAAGTTGAAAGAAATGATTTAAAAGAAATATTTAGTCTAAAAAAATAATTTTCTCTAAATTGAACTTTTAAAGCTTTTATTTAGCACATTGTGGAGTACACAATTATTATCCAACATCGACTGCAAAATAAATTGAGTTCTTTTCGTAAGCGTTAAGTGTCAACTAGATACTCAGGAAATTACAAAACATATTTTTTTTTAAAAAGTTAACTGAATCCCCTTAAAGTTTGTTGACGGAACCATGTCAAATATATATATATATATATAGTTATACTTGTGATGTGTGTTTGTGAATATGTGCGTTTCGGTAATTGTGTGTTTTTATGGATTAACTGGACTTGGCCGATATTTATCCAAAATGTTTTGTGTTATGAATAAATAATGAATCAGAATAGGCAAGGTCAAATTGTTTTCGAACTCAGTTTCACACGTCGTCCCATTAATTTGGAATTCTATTTAATATAAAATATAATGTTGTTGTTTGTCCGTCGAAGTCGAATAGGACCATCGAGGCATCCTGTTAGGGGAGGTTGGGATTACGGTGAACTTGTAGGTGGCTTGCTAGATCGATCCTTGCTCGGAATAATCTATGACACCGTGGGCATGGAATAGTTGCTTCAGACGGTGACCTAATGTTGCTCTTTCGGACAAACCTGCGTAAAATATAGTAAATTTATACAATCACGCTGAGTTACATCATGGGCATTACTTTATTTAATTTACATTACTTTCTTAACACTCAGCTATGATGCATCCCTGATGTACCAATCGAATCTAGTAAATAATTTAGCTGAACAAATGACTTTGTTTCAATGATGTATACTTTAAAAAAAAAATAAGAAGATTTAGTGTATATCAGATATGATTTCTAGAAACAATAAAATCTTGTTTATTTTAATTTTATTAATCAGTTATATATAAAAAAATCATTATGCATATTTCCAATCGTGAGTGTCGTACAAAGAGCATTTTTATTTAAATAGATGTATTAGCATTTTTTTTGGACATGGAGGAAAAAATATTATATTTGTCTTTTTTTAACAACTTGAAAAATTTGGTAGGCCCATCCTTCATTTAACTTGAACTTTTCTAACGGGTCCCAAAGGTGCCCGCATCTCCTCATCCAACCTCTCCCCCCTCCCCTCCGAGAATCATGTTCTCTGGTGTGATTGTACTTTTTACCTTGTGTCTCACAGAACCATTCGTCACACAGTAACCAGACATCAGTCATTTTGTTGATTGCTTGCCCGCTGACATTGACTAAATTGAAGCACACGTTTAGTTGCAGTACTTTCAAAATTTTCCAGAGATGGACAAGCACACCATTTCCTAAACCTTCCAATATTTGGCTGCAAAATCAGTAAACATGATTAAAATGTGTTGCGATTTTCTTGAAGCCTTGAAATTCTTTTAATAAGACATACAATTAGTTTTTAAATGAAGCACTTCCGATTAAGAAGTTAAATAATAGTCATTATTCCCACCTTCTAAAACATGTGTTTAAAACTGTAGATATATACAAAGATTTCTACTCTCGAATAAAAAAAAAATTAAATACGAACAAAATATGGTGCTTGAAAAGAAAGTATAATTTGTCTTGAATATAATTGGCGGATGATGCTTTAGGATTAATATTTTTTTAATATAATATAGTATCTTTAAAGGGACCATTTTTGTGGGTTGTCAAATCACGCTTTTACATAAAGAAAGCTACCCTTGATATTAATTGTCATCAAGAATGACTATATCAATTAAAAATCTACTTTAAAAATTAATCATAAAATTGAATGAAGTGCAAAAAATGAGCCTATTGCTTATTAAGATTTAGATGAGATATCATCATAATTCCCAAACTAGGTTAGGTGTGTGTTTACAAGCGTAACAGAGATCATTTAAAATATATTATTACCTTGTTTGCGGTTTTGCATTATATATAAATAATTGTTAATTTTTAAAAATGTTTTTTCTCTTCGGAAAACTGAAACAATTTGATATCAGAAAAAAATGCAGTGATAAAAAAAAAGAAATCAGCAGAGCATAAGATAGCACGTGAAAATCAATTTAGTCTTTTTAAATATAAATGCCATCTGGGGATATTTTTTAGGTCATCAGAGAAATGTGATTGAAATGGCTTTGATTGGAAACTTGATTTATTATTTCAAAACACAAAAAAGAAAATAAATATAATTCAAATATTATTTTCATAAATAAAGTTAATATTGTTACAAGAGTTTACAATTTATATTCTTATTTATCAAAGAAACGCTACACACCAATTTAAAGTCACCGTGTTTCCCACGACAGAAAACTTGTTAATTAATTGCCCAGTACATGCACAGTCATCTCTTGGCCGCTGCACACATCTGATATAATTGTAGTTCAAATAACATCTTACACGAACTTTAAAGAATCCCCTCTCCATTTTGATGCTGGGACCTCTAAATTGTAATCTTTACTGTGAATAATACTAAACTAGACGTGCAAATATCCAAAATGGATGCAATATGTCTATAATATACCAACATAATTATAAATGTTCAAGAAAAATTTCAAGAAAAATAATATTTTGGTTTTTAATTTCTGCGAAAAGAACCGAAACTAAAATGTTTACTAAAATCGCAATAGATTTCCAATTTTATTTTGGGGAAATTTGAAGGTTAATCTGATCTTTAGAGCGAAAAATTGTTTGAGTTTATTATTTAGATTAACTGATAGGAGAGTATTTCATTGTTTCAATATGGTGATATGGTGTCTGAAATCTGAATTACTGTGTTTTCATACTTCACACAAGAAGGTGTAGTGTACAAGAAATTAGATGACTAAAACTTGTGTGCCTCTTTGTTTACCTCTGTTGTAATAGGATGAGAATGGGGACGGCTTGATTGGAACAACTACATGTTCGTCTTTGTACTTCTCTTCAATTTCGACACATGTACCGTGTTAGCGAGCTTGTGATATGGAGAGATTTAAGTTATTATTTCATAAAAAATTTTTTTTTTTTTTTTTTTTTTGGATTTTTTGCTGAAGTGGGCTTTTACCCAAAACTTCATTTTAATTATTCCGAATTTTTAAAAAGTTTTTAAAAAATATTTATTCATTTTTTTTTAAAAAATTTTTTTTTTTTTTTTTTTTTGGATTCAGTGCTGAAGTGGGCATTTAGCCAAAACATCATTTTAATTATTCCGAATTTTTAAAAAGTTTTTAAAAAATATTTATTCCATAATTTATTTAGTTCACATGGCTTGAAATCTGTCCCCAAATATTATCATATGTAACCCTCTTCAATACGCTAAATATACATGCATTAATTCGCTTTACGGCAATAGGTGAAAGGCTTTACTGTTGTAATAATAAAATAATAAGTTATTTATTGCAAATATTTTTTATATTCATTACGTACACACAATTAAATAAAAAACCTAAATTAAATAACAGTATAAAAACAGTTTTATGATGTGTCATGTAAGTGTTTCACGTTCAGCTTCCTCCTTAAGTATTAGTCAGTGAGTTTCAAAGCACTTTTTTGAGGACGTGAATTTTTTTTATTTAGACTCCTTACTTCCTTAATGACGCATTCCACTCAATACATTGAACTTTCGTATCGAAATGTCTACATTTTAAAACGCATACTACTTTGAGTATGTGTGAAAACGCTCGTAACTGAAAGAGATAAACAACAAACAAGATAAATTATGCTCCATAAAAATTATTCTACATGATGTACAATTTAATTGATCAATAACAGTCATCAGCTTGGATATGAATCGCTGGATATTTGTTGGGCTAATTTGTACACGATTATACAGTAACGCTATAAAGATAATTGGCTCTGACAAAAAAGTCTTCACTCTATACTATGACAGCTATTGCATAAATTTTTCAAAGGAGAAGTATAATGAGTAAGTATAGATTTAATTTTTTTTTTTTAATAATGCAGATAAATATTCAAATGGGAATTTTTTTTTCAATAAACTATTTTATTAACCTATTTGAAATATTTGCAGTGTATTAAATATAAAAAAAAATAATTCTGTTTATCTAGTTGATTTTAGACCTTAAGTAAACAAAAATGTTTCGATAAAGCAATGTATGTCAAAAAAATAACTTCTTCGTATATTAACCAAATATTTCTAAACATAATTTATTTAAAGAAGTAAATTAAAATTCATTTAGATTGAGATGTAAGCAAAATATGTACATTAATGTAATACATGTAAATAAACATTTTTTTTTTTTATTTTCAATAACAGATTTATACAATGCTTGTGTAGTTCAAGCGGCAATACAAGTCTAATGGTATCTTTGTCAAGTCAAAATAAAACCATAGAGATGACAGAGACTATGAAATGTGTAAAGTATCATATCCCATTAGAAAGATTGCCATTTGAATGTATATTAACATCGTCAAAACATACCAAAGAGATGGTTGAATTTAAAGAATTTAATCTAATATGTAGGACAAAAGAAAGCGATATTGGCAATACAAAAACAGTGAATACTTTTACCGTGAATTCCCATTTGAAATTGTGTGATAAATGTTTCCATATAAACTGGTGGTCAGATGGCCAGCTAACTTTAGGATATCACGATGAAGAAATACGAAGGCAGTCAGAGGATTGCAGATTACAAGAGATAACAACAAAATCAACATCAAATGTAGAAATCATTTTTGCCAACTCTTCTAAAAGTACTAATATTAGCGATAATTTTAGGCGAACTAATAGAGACAAAACTCATTCTATCTCAACAATAGCTTATGTAATATCAGCCATATTTATTGGTTGCATTGTTACATTTTTTCTAGGAGTAAAGAGGATAAGCTTGAATACAATTTTCCGAAGACATTTTAGTGTAATTTATAGTTTGATTAAACCAAAGTCACGTGACACGGACCACATTAGCAATTTCAATGACCATGAGCAAGCGTTTGGTGACCCTATCCCCCAAACAATTGAACGATTTGATCGTATGCCCTTGGTCAATGAAGAAGACATTTTTAACGAACACATGGCATTCTGGCATAGGGAAACTAATAGTGTTGATTTAAGGGCAAATGAATCAGTTTCTGAAGCTTTGGAACAAGAAACATGTCTAAATAATATTATGGAAGATAACATATATGCCGATCCTGTAATGATTCTGAATCTCTTGAATTCAAGTTCCAACGAAACACAGACAACTAAAAATCAAAGAAGTATTCTAACTGACATACCTACCCATTCAACAGTGGCACATGAAGCTATTCAGGTGGTAACAGAGAGGGAAACAAATGTGAGATATTATGAAGTTGAATTTAAACCCGTAGAGTATTACGATTCCCAAACCGTTCACGAAACTACTCTTAAAAGTTCAGCTGAAAATGACGTAACCACGGCAACTGATGTAGACAAAGTCTATGAAACCCCTCTACCCATTACCGACACCATTTACTACACATTAAGAAGAAAGGCCAATATGTTTAAACATAATTATGAATGCATTCCAATAGAGATTGACTCTTCTCACACTAGTCTGACGGTCAACGAAGGTTCGAGATTGTCTACATTTTATGAAATAGCATTTGATGAAGAAGAAGATGGCGGTAGACAAATGATCCATCGTGACACGGAGATCGTTACTGACGAAAATCGGGGTATAATTGTTGACTCTGAGAACCCTATTTTTGATAAGACCATTTATTCTTCACTGAGAGAAAAAAGGACGTTTAAGCACAATTATGAAATAATAGCAACTGTGATGGAATCACCTTGCATACACCTTGGAGAAAATTCATTGAAAATCGTGCAAGAAATCGCAGAACAAAATACTGCAGCAGAAAACTTATTTGATAATCAAACTTCGCCTGAACCGAATTCAAGTACAGACAAAGAACATGACGACATCATGACCAGCATTGAGGGTGTAGAGGACACAAACCGACACACCGCCATTAAAGATGTGTCGTGCACATTTCCAGATAAAATAAAGAGTTACATTGATTTAGATTCACCATATTCCAGCTCACACCTACAGCTTGAGATGAACTTACAATCCTAATTGAAATCTATACATCTATTCCTTCAGTCATGCTGTCCTCTCCTTCTGACTGCTACTAGAGCTAACACAAACACATCCCTTGTTATGTCTATAAGTTGCAACGTGAATTTCTAAAGTTAAAATGTTGTTGTAAACTATATGTTTTATAAATATTTTTTTAAAAATTATAATTATTATTATATCATTCACATGATTTGTGTAAATATCCTTGATACTTTATTATAGTTTCTTAAATCATTTATTTTATGTAGCCTTAGAACCGCGGTTCTCAACCTGTGGGTCGCGACCCCTTTGGGTCGAACGACTCATTTCCAGGGGTCGCCTAAGACCATCTGAAAAATTGATATGCTTTACAGTTTCGAATTAGCAACGAAAATAATTATGTGGCTGGGTGTCACCACAACATGAGGAACTGTATTAAAGGGTCGCAGATTTTGGGAAGGTTGAGAACCACTGCCCTAGAAGATGGTGAGGTAATTTATAAGCAATGTTAAATGCCTATAAGATAGTATTAAATATGAAAAAAAAATTATTAAGATATATGTACTTTTTTTCAAAATGATGTCTATGTATTGTTCATTTTCAATTTTATTTTAACTTTTTTTATAGGATGATTGTGCATCAGCTTTTCTGTTACTAGGATTGAATGTTTAAAATTGATTAAAAATACTCATTTATTATTCTAAATTGCTTACGTACAATCAAGTATGGGACGCAATTTTTTAATTACTGGTCACTTCTATTTTTGTAGGCATCTTTGGAGAATCAGTTATTTTATTACAAAGTTTAAAGTATCTAGTATGTTTAATAGCATCCCTTCATAACAGTTTTTTTTTTAAAATCTGTCATCCATTGAGCGTATTCAAACCACATATGGCTTTTTCAATATTAGACACAAATGAATGAAGTTTTCAAGTGTGCGTGGGGCTCAAATTCCAATTCATGCCTCCAATGACAACGTATTTAAAAATATAGTCTTAAATTTAAAGTTGAGATGGTTTTTATAAATGTTATTTTTGTTTTTTGTTAAAATGTGAGCCACGATGTGCTGGCACCGAGCAAGTTTTTGTTCGGTTAATAAATTGCTTTTATTATTCTCTAATGTATGAATAAGTTTTGAGTTAAATTATGTTTTTAATAAAGTTTTTTATTTAATATATATATATAACAATAATTTGTCAAATAGTTTTAATGAGAATGTGTGTTGATTTAATCTTCTTCAATCAAAGTTCGATTACATCTATGAATTATTTCACAACAAATTTAATGTGTTATGCTCTATAATTAGATTTTTTGATATTATATTTTACTTTTGCTTAAAATACCTTAATGAATTTATTTATTTAAGTTATATCTATTAAAAAAACTCAAATGAACCTGTTAAATAATCACAAGAGTTACGTTTGTTATTCATTTTAATATTTAAATTTTAAACAAGTGTTACACACAAGTGTATATTATTGCATCCATGCCTTCAGGTAGTACAATGACAGTATTCCCAACGCAAAAGAAAAGAAACAACTTGTTTTGTTAAAGATATAATTGTAAGTAAGTGAAAATAAACGAAAGCCTAAAGCCCACCCATCTACAATTTAAAAAAAAAAAGTATATAAGAACGTTACTATTTACAAACGTTTTCTTTACCCTTCACTATTTGTAAATAAGATACATAGGAAAAGAAAAATCATAATGAAATTGTTCTTGTCTCATTTGATCACGTTTCTTAAAGTTACTGTACGGAAATGGAAATATAAAATACTATATCAGTCAGTTTGGACATTTTAGCACTTTATCTGTTTCGCGAACCAGCTGTCTAAGTCTTACAGCAATTGCTGACCTGAAAAATTATATTTTGTGACCGAATTGCTTCAGTGGAGTGACTTGTGTTTTTTAAATGCTTGGTTTCTTTTATGAGCGTATCTTAACGTCTGGTTTTTAAATTCAGAAACAGCAGTTGGGCAAATTTTGTTTTGGCGATCTTTGTTGGAGTCTAGTGACGTTTTTTTATTGGAGGTAATAAAATCCGACGACCGTTTCAACGATTCTAGAAGAACTTTTTTATATTGTTTTTTTATTACATTTTGTTATGTTTGTAAATTTTACGTTGATAATTATATATTTATAATGATTCTTCCTAAAAGAAGTTATAAGTTCAGTGTATTAGTGTCTAGCTAACCAACAGATGACAGTCCGATAAGTGAAAATAAAAAATAATTATAATAAATACACCCAAGAACATTATTGCAGTGAGCTCGCGTTGGTATTTCCCATCTATTTCCCATGATTTTATGAAGTATTATTATTTTAAATTGTATTGTTTGTCACCCCAAACCAAACGATATCTAGAACAAGGATTCCAATTTTAAAAGTGTATATAAAACATACACCATGTTATTCCAAATTATTCAAAAAAGTTGGGGGGGGGGGTGCCACAGCCAAACCTTGACCGGCTTGTTGGGTTTATTATTACTGAAGGGGCCACAGAACATAGCAATTAATATAAAACTTGAAAGCTCAGGTGTGGCTGATATCCCCCCTGCCCTACTCAATGACGCCCATGCCCCCAGCATCAGCCCCATTGAAATTGACTAGTTGACTTGAATATCAGCTAAATAAAAAAAAATATTTCTCGGATATATCCGATGATTTTTATTTTATTTTATAATCTCAAGTTGAAAAAAAATGTATTACAGTAAGAATCTACGAATACTCAAAGCATGGGCTGAACGTCATTGATTTGATCCCTTGATCACATGATAGAAACTGAGGAACATTATCAGAATTCAAGCAGTCTTCATTTAAATGCGCACAGACCAGGAAGAAAAATCCCAATATCTTCAAATATCCTGTTCCCAAAGGTACAATTAAAACCAAAATTGGCATATAGGCGTTTAGGTCGTAGGGCAGTGGCGTAGCGAGGGTGTTTGGCGCCCGGGGACAAGATTCGCGCCAGGGGACAAGATCCATTTTAAAGCGCCCCTTCTTCTTTTTTTTCAACTCTCAAACCCGTTATTTTCCTCAATAAAATAATATCAAAGCACATTTTGGCGCCCCTAACTAGCTGGCGCCCGGGGACATATGTCCCCCCTGCCCCCACCACGCTACGCCTCTGTCGTAGGGCAAAGGTCAAATTCATGTGTGTGGGCCATGGGTCTAAAAAGTGGTTCATTCTTTAAGTGCTTAAACGTTTTTGATGTCAACTTTTTAGTTATCGTGAATATCTTTAAATTACTCACCGAATTAATGAATCCTTTTTATCGCCTTTTAGCACAAATTGTGGCGCGTTAAAATGTGATTGAATTTAAGTGAAGCCATTGTCAGAAAACATTTAGAATAAAAGGCTAATGTGTTTATTTTATTTATATATATATATATAAGTTTATGTATATTAATTAATTCTAAATTATCTCATTTAAATTTTGCTGCATAAAAAAGAGTATTGCGTTGACTTAGACAATGAATCTATTGTGGTTTGTTCTGTGGTTATCGCTGGCAAGCTGCTCAAATCCTTATACAGGACACTCTGGAATGCCTGAATTTGTTATTCGATATAACAATATATTTAATATCACATTTTCTTATTAGAGCTATAAAAAGTAAGTTTTTTTTTTTTTAAACCACACCAAAAAAAAAAAATATGTATACGATAGAAATAATTGCAATGTAATGCGATTTTAAATACGTTTTGCTTTTTTTTCCCCTTTCAAGTAGCTAAGATATATCATAGAAGAAATTGTTGTTGTTTTTTCTTAAGGATTGTTTTAATCAACGTTGTTTTATTAAAATCTTTAAGCAAGTTAAAAATGCGTTGAATTTGAATTATTTTGTTACAGATTTCTTGAGTGTTTATGTACCGTTACATTTACCGAAAGCGTTGTATACACTTATACATCGAATCAAGACAATGTTGCATACGTGTCTAATATTCAATGTGACGTCAATGACAATAAAAAAATAACAAGCAAACAACTGCATTGCTCTTTTTATGAGCAAAGTATTAATATTAAGAAAGACTTCATTATCTACTGTGAAATATCTAAAATTAACGAAGTGCCAAGGAGTTTACAACAACAAGTTGACAATCAGACTTGTTCAAATAAATGCGTCATAATCACGTGGGTTTCAGACGTGTCAATTGAATTAATTTATGACACCAACATAAAAATACACCACAAGCAAAACACGTGTGGAACAACCACGCCCACACCGTCTCCAACTATTCCGGCAAAAAATACAAACACTCAGTTTTCTAATGGTGATCTGAACATCCGCACTATTGATGAACAGGTCAATGAAGCCAGCAGTATTGATGAACAGGCCAGTGATGATGGCATGATGTCTACGTCTCAAATTGTTTTTGCAGTTTTATTTGGCTTGTTCTTCTTAACAGTTTCTTTCGTTCTGGGCGCTAATCGGGAACGTCTTGTGGGTGTTTGTATCAGACAAAGACGTATATTGAGAGAGAAGACAACTCCGATAAGCCAAGGCGCAAACCCTGTTAACAATGAAGAAGACAATACACCAACAGATGACATCAATAATCTCACAAACCAAAATTTTGAAGTTACTCCCCATTTTTATTTACAGCTAATGAATGAATCTCCCAGAGACGGTATCAGTTATCAAACTCGAGGGAATGATGTTAAAGAACGGAATGATACTGAACAAGGTGTAGAGCATGGTGAAACAGATTTACATCTTGATCATATTTATGCCGAACCTTGCGAGACACTAAGACAAGAGAGTTCCAATATTTATGATGACGCGTCCACCGAGAGGCAATCCGTTATTATTGCACTGCCGCAAAGAAACCAAACGCGTATAGATGGCGCCAGTGGTCAGAGGTATTATGAAATAGATGAAGAGGCACTAGACGTTGGGGAAGATGTAAGCCAAGAGGGAATTGTAGGTGCTGTTAGTGTGGTGGATACTTCAGGCGACGGCTATGAGGTGCCCAGAGAGGTGCCCAGAGAGATGGCCATCAAAGGAAAGTTAGCTGCACTTGGGGTCATATGTACTCGAGTATGAAAATTACAAAGACATTCATATTAGAAGTAGTGATCATGAACCTGGATGTGATCCTATTCTAGAAATAAAATTACCGT